GATAGATAGATAGATAGATAAAGATATACATGTACGTACTTCTGAAGAGAGAGAGAGAGAGAGAGCGCGAGCATCACGGATTCATATACATTGCCTGTGTGTGGTAACTTTAAGGGGTTCTACAACGTACTTTGAACAGGGGACCATTGCAAAGCAATCCTACGTCTGCCGGGAACCCCAACCACTTGTAGCTGTGACAAGAAAATCAACACTTTATTATACTGGACCATACCATCATGGAACATAGGTGGCCGTGGATTGAACACTCACTTAGCCGCATGCGTCATTGTCTAATATATGACACACCATCATAGGCAACTGTCGTCTCTTAAGCAGGACGTAAAGGAAGTTCTAGTTTGGTACACTCCGTAGGAGCCTACCGAACCCCAAGACCCTAGACTCCTAAACCCTGAACCCCAAGCAACCCCAAAACCCCACGACTTCCAACTCCCAGCCCAGCCCAAACCCCAAAGCCTTGAATCCATGTACCCTGAACCTCACTCTAGGCCGGCAGGCCCCCAAATCCAACACCTCTGGTACCCCAAACCCCACAGAAGACACCAACAAATGCACGCAAAAACTTTAGCGAAACTCGCCCAAGCCCCACAGCCAAGGCCCGAAGCCCCTAAACCCGACGCCCAAAGCCCCCCTAAATCCCGACAAATACCAACCCTTGGCCTCAAAAAAAACAAAATCCTACTAACACCCCGCGAAACTCTACATGAAAAAACCAAACCTCCAAAACGTGATGTAAATTCCGACACACATGCAATTCAAGCCCTAGCTGAACACAAAACACCATGCTTAACCTGTAATCTTTTTAAGAACCCCCTTTAAAACCCAAAGCCCTAAACCCCTAAACAATCGCTTTAAGCAAAACCCCACCGGAAGCCGAAGCCCAAAAAGACTCTAAACCCTAAACCCAAAACCCTAAGACCAAAACCCTGAACCCTAAACCCCACAACCCTAAACCCCTAAACCCCTAAACCCAAAACCCTAAACCCTAAACCCTAAGCCCTAAAACCTAAACCCAAAACCCTAAGCCCTAAACCCCACACCCCAAAGCCCTAAGCCCTAAGCCCTAAATCCATAACCCTATAAGCCGTAAACCCTAAACCCTAAACCCAAAACCCGAAGCCCTAAAACCGAGAGCGCGGCCTGGCTCAGTCAGGCCCCGGCTCCTTTCAAACAAACGTAAGATGAGAGGGCTTAAGAGGCTGAGGGTTCATGTAGGGGCTTAGGGTTTCGGGGTTTAGGGTTTAGGGCTTAAGAAGTTGAGGGTTACTTTAGGGGTTTGGGGGGGTTTAGGGCTTTTAGGGTGTAGGGTTTAAGAAGCTGAGGGTTCATTTAGGGGCTTAGGGTTTAGGGGTTTAGGGTTTAGGGCTTAAGAAGTTGAGGGTTACTTTAGGGGCTTAGGGTTTAGGGGTTTAGGGTTTAGGGCTTAAGAGGTTGAGGGTTCAGGGGCTTAGGGTTTCGGGGTTTAGAGTGTGGGAGATGATGTGCATTGCCCTTAAGGTGCAAGCGTCCGCTCCTACCCATGTGCTGCAGTTCCTAGCACGTGGGCGGGGTTGGGGTGGGCACATATCAGTGCAAACGAGGTTTTACGCAGGTTATGACGCCCAAGTCACGGACCTCTGCGACAAGCTCCGTGTAGACAGCTCTTTGCAGGTTGGTGAAGCTGGGAGGTGACTCGAGGATGTGTTCGGCTGCATTTGCTTTGTGCAGGGCTTTGTGACAGGTGAGTTCGCAGGCCGGCCTTTGTCTCAGAAAGCGGGGGATTGTGGATCTCAGAAAGCGGGGGGCCAATGCAGTTCATCAGCAAGGAGCGTTTGGTGGTTGGGGGCGCCTAACAACTGGTGCGGTGGCTCATGCCCAGTGGCCTCCAAGGACAGAAACGGTGGCAGCAGCATCATCTTTTTGCAGCATGCCCCAATGCTCACAGGTCAA